TTCTTTCCTATCTCTCCCATCCCAAAGTCTTTCCAATTCATTCTTAATTTTACTATTGGAAAGTCAACATTATGAAATAGAGCATATTTCACTATAAGTGTACTGTTAGGCATGAATGGATGATTATATATAGAAATTGAGAATTTATATTAAAATTATTGGGATTAGTTTGTAGCAACCATCTTCTCAGATTTTCAATAATTTTGCCAAGATGAGCTGTAGTCTCGACCAATACGACACAACTCAGTGTTGTTTCCCTTTTAAATATACTAGAAGTAGCAATAGTAAACCTAGTTGTAGCATCATGCAACTTTCTTGTGCTTATGGCCAAGAAGAATAAGGATATAGTCTCTATTGATTGTGAGACTACTGCTTCAAACCTATAGCCTAAAGATGATTGCTTATAGTCAATGTTCAGCCTACCAACAATGCCTTTACATGCAGATAGACACACTTAGTTAGTCAACTGTTTACAAACATTCTAGAGACTTTCACAATCTGGACATAGTGCAAAAAATCATTGGAAATACCTGATCACTTGGAATGAATCCTCTATGGATATAGTGCATGATACCAATATACAAATAGCTGAGCTGTCAACCTATGCAGTCTGTATAATTCCCACCATCATACAGGCTTGTTGATTTTTCAAGTAAATAATTAATGTAAATAAAATTGTGCTCTAGTGTTCATTGCACAATCATAATGTTAAATAAATGGGTTTACAAAAAACCATTCCAATTAAACAAATAAAAGAGAAATGTTACTTCATTGCTAGCTATATAATCTCAATTGAAATGTGAAATATGTTTCAAATTACTCTACTCATCATTTAATTTTACAAGTAAACAAATCCTAAATAAATTTTGCTATCACTGTCTTTAATCAAGCTTTTCATTACTAAACTCCAATATATTCAGTGTATATGTTTGTCTAAGACCAGAAAAGTTATTTTTAAGAAAAATAGCTTTCAACCAAAACGACTAATTAAAAAGGAAAAATTGTGGTAAAACAAATGTTAAAATAATCTGAAAGGAAATGTTTTATTTATTTTTATATATCATATATATAATAAATACAACAGCAAAATTTGGATTAAAAATTTTTAGCTAATTATATTAAGAAAGAAAAATTATCATCATTATTAATTATAATAATTACATACTATATTAACTGGCATATAATAAAATTAACAAAAAATATTGAAGTTTTAGGTTTATTTATAAGATTTCCAAATATTTTATTATAATTCTTATATGTAAATGACCTAACAGATATGTTGCTTATATCATAGGAATATTTTTGTTTCTAGTTATAAGATGAGTATTCTTAAAAACAATTATATCTTTTCATACTTGTAATGTTAAATAGGATAAAGAAAAATTCTCTGAAATGACCAAGAAAACCTTCCAATAAAAAAAGAAAAAAAATTGTTCTTCAATTATTTGGTAAGACTTTGAGAAGTGGCTTAGGCCAAAATAACTTTTTGTACAGAATGCAGTCTTGCCAATTTTTTTTAATTCTAACATTGTATTTATAATATAAGTTTTATACCTTGAAAAAAAAATTAAGATTTACCAATAATACCAATAATAATTCAGTTTCAAAACCTTACTAGCTCAAGACTTCTGAAGTATTTTCTTATGGCATAATACACTTGTTTGATTAAAAGTTTCTTTGATGTAAAACTTTAGTTAATATTGTTTAATTATAAAATGTATTAATGAATATTCATGTCAATCTGTAGACTGGATAACATATATTTCTCAATTTGGAAACTAATGTTAAAAAATAATGTGAACAATAAAATATGTATATGTGTATTATACATACACATTCACCATATTTCCCATATACTTCAATTTAAAGAATTTTGAGAAAAGAAATAAAAATAAAGAAGTAACCTTCATCAAATTTCTGGTCCTTATTTTGTTGGGAAGCAAACTCTAAGAAATACACACACACACACACATACATATATATATATATATATATATATATATATATATATATATATATATATATAATGTTTGTAAAATCAACATTTGTATTTTACATTTACATTGATCTTTAGGATTTGTAGCATGTTCAGCTTTGTATTTTGCTTTTATAGCTGCAATGCATGGCAGAATCTGATAGGCTCATTTTTACAAGGGTGCTGCATTTAATGAAGAAATGTTCCCAATCATTGATTTATAATTGTTTTAGAAACATGGATTGAATACACTGTTACCTTTTAACACTTTTTGCATTATTACTGAAAGACACTTAATTTCTTGTTATATTGATAATACTATGTTGAGAATTTCAAGTTTCAAAAGTAGTATTTCAGGTATATTATTCAAATTTTATCCATGTATTTTCATTTCTAGTAAATGAAATGAATAAATCCTATTTATTGAATGTAAGATTTAACATTACCACTAGCATTAAATGCTGCTAGAAACAGTAAGGATGAATTTTTGAAAACCAAATTTAAAATAATATACAATAGAATTCAGAAATAAAAGAAAGCTGGATAGTAGCTCCTGCTACACCAGTGATTCCATTGCCTTTAACCACTACATTGAATGCACACCTTTACTGACATTTTTTTTTATATTGTAAAATTTGAGATATACTGATTTCTCTTTAAATATTTTAAGATAAGGCAAATAATGCATAAATGTAGTTTATTTAACAAAAGATAGACCAGATAGTCACACCAATATTAAAAGAGAAATGAAACGTACTGCTGCGTCGCATTTTAATATCAAATTTGACATGTAAATCTTTGCAGATTAAATAAAGAAATAAAACTATTTGTAAAAAAGCCTGATTGAATAATATATATATATATATATATATATTGGATTTTTTCCAATTTATATAATTGTCTGATCTATAAAAGTAAATCCATAGAAGTAATAATAAAAGTTGTTCCTCTGAGTTTACCAATTTCTGAATATTTGAAAACTCCAGCAGAATGTCATTGATACAATTCATGGATCACTATTGGAAAATGTAATTCAGCTTTATTTATTTTTTCAATTGAATGCAATTCCAGTAAAAAAAATAATATTTTTTTACATTTGGGAAATTAATGTTTGTTAATTTTGGTAGCACATGACGTACTTCTTTAGTTATATTATTTTATCATTTAACACTCTTTGAATTGATAAGTAGTTTTATATATAATTGATAAGTAATTATATATGCCAAAAAGGAGAACTGTTCTATCCATTTTACTTTTTAGGTAATTTTTTTAAGTCTTTCTAGCTGTACAATTGAAATTGAAGTTTTAAACTTTTTTGCTACAGACAAGAAATTTATTTTAGTATTATTATAGATTCTTTTAGTTATAATGAACGTCTATGATACATTTGTGCTATATTGATCTCTATAAACATAATTTTTCAGTTTTTGTTTTCAAAACTGTGTTGATATTCACATGTGCTAGATCCAAACAAGTTCATTAGTTAGAATGGATCTCCTAGCATCTTGATCTTTAGTTACTTTATATTTTTTTTTCAACTACTTAAATCAACAGTAATTAAGGCAGAATTTATTTATTTTTATTAACAATACCATTTGTTGTAGTGTTACCAGTAGAAGCATTACAATAGCTTGTTGTTAGTATTTTTTATGGTAGCTTAAAAATATTAAGTTTCTCACACTGGAAAATTCTACTGTATGTCCTATTAAAATTATTATTGTTTTAATTATTTTTTTTTTTTTTTTTTTGTTATATCTCCTATTTCTATTAATCTTTATCAAACCTGGTGCTGATCAATGCAAAAATATGATTATGTTCCTAACTTTTAAAGTTTTATACTAAAATAATGCTTATGGCTGATATCAAATTAAGGAATTGGAAAATCTCTACCTAACAACTATAATAAAAACTACTGAGTCTAATCATTTTGCCCCTTACAAAATAAATATCAACTTAAAATTTTAATTTCAGAAAGCAACAAATTGAATATCCTTAATAGAAAAAAAAAACTTTTACACAAAATTTTGTATCTGAATTAGTAATACTAGTAACAATATTATTGGAAATACTGGCAACATTTCTTAGTTTCTTGAGGTTAAAAAGTGCGAGCGAATACCTTTGGAAAGCAGGTTTTTTTTCTTTGAAGTTTTCCTTTTCATAGTCACTGTCAAATGCCTCATTTCTTTTGAAGTTCTTCAGTTTATAAAAACAAATAACAATTACATGATGGGAATATTTTTTACCAAATTGACATTTTTAAAACAGTTTAACAAAACAACAATAAGTAATTTACATGACATTCATGGTAACAATTATTTTCAAATAAAATAAATTTATATTATTTGTGGTTATGCAGAATTAACCTCAGTATAATTTCCAATCTTAAATTGAACTCCATTTGAAAAAATGTTGTTTATTTTATATCTAAACTTTAATTTTTAATTTCTTTTGAAATACAATTAATAGACTATAAACAAAAATTATAGATTTTCATGTAAACATTTATAGCACTTTTAAATAATAACTGAAAAGATATAATATTGCAAAATACTTTAATATATTTAAATTGGTACTTTGTTTTAAGCTATGTTTGAATATAATATCTATGGCATTCACATGTAACCTACATTCACAAAACCTCAATTTATTTTAATCATGAAGTTTTACTAGGATAATACCAAACAATGCATTTTCTCTTAGCATTGTCTCTTGTTTCTTGAAGTAAACATAAAAAAATAAAAAATTAATTGTATTTTTTTTCTTATTGTGGCAATAGTAAACTGGGGAAATTGAGATGGTTGTGAACTAAATCAAAAGTTTTTTTCTTTTTTTTTTTCTTTTGCTTATCACATTAGTGTTTGTATTTTTCCTTTATTCTATTCCCCCACACCAATTGTTTATGAGTTTTATACTTTCACTCCCATATAAACTAAACCTTTGTAGATTCATGTGCACATCAATTTCCATGCAATTCTACTGCCATGCAGCCAGTAACTAACCATTAACATTGTCTGTGTGTTTGCAGGCGGTGGAGCAAGGCTGTTGAACAGTGGCGCCAGTTCCACTGTGACTTGAAGGATATTATGTCATGGCTAAATGAAGCTGAGAAAAAACTAGCCACAGTTAAGCAGCTTCCAACCACAGATGGACTGACATATGAGGTAGGTTTATTTTTCTTTATTTCTTTCTTTCTTTTGGTCATTTTTTTAAAAACCTTATTTCTTGGTTGATTTTTCTTTTCATACAGTTTTTCTTCTTTTACATCTTTGAATACTAATTCTTTCTTTTAATATTTTTTATTTTCCATCATGTTTTCTTTTTTATTCTTTTCTCTTGATTATTTTTTATCTTTAAATCTCTTTTTTCTTCTACGTTTGTTTTTCTCTTATTTCTTACACCATTCCTTTTATCATTCATTTTCTTTTTTCCTTTTTCTACACTCCTACTTTCTTTACTCTTTTTTCCTTCTTTTTTTAATTTTTTTTTATTTACTTTGCTTCTTTCACCTGCTTTTCACCCCATCTCATTTTCTATTTTTTTCCTTTATTGTTTTTCATTTTAACTTTTGTTTTTATTAATTTCTGATCATTTTATTTTATTTTTTTCTTTTACAATTTTTTCCTTTTACTCTCTAATACTCCCTGTTTATTTGCTTGTTGTATTTGCTTTCCTGGAAGAATTGAATGAAACAATATTTGTGTGTTTATAAAATTATAAATGCTAGATTAAAATTAACTCTTCAAATTTTCTCATATCAAATAAAAAGCAATTCTCAACTTCTTTTTTATACCTAATAAACTCAAATTTCTTAACATAGATTAAACAAATTTACATTATATTAAAAAAAAGATTTATTTTCATTTTGTTTTAATGTACAGTTTTATTCTTAAATTATTACAGAAGAATTAATGATGATAAGATAAAGAAGTTAAATAAAAAATTATCTTCTTCATCTTATCCTTTTAAATTATTTGTTCAGAATGTAAAAATGAATAATTCAAACTTATCATAATCCTATTTTTGTTTTGAACACTGCTTGTTTTAATTCTGAATGTCACATTGTAATTTACCAATCAAAACCTATCATTTTAATAATTATCTTACAGAAATTTTAAAAGCAAGTCATTCCATTATTTCAAAATTTCAATGTCACTTTAACATTAGTGTATTTATAATTATCTTTCCTCAGTATTTCAAAAAGCAATCATCTCAGTACAGGAGAAATTCAATTTCATAGTGGACATATAAGTTATCAGTTTCATCTATTATCACTTTACTGTATCTAAGAAACATTACTTCCAAAACAAGCAACATGAATTTAGAATAACTGTTGTGTTGTCTAATTTTTATCAATAAAAAAAAAATTATCTTATAGATTAAAACTCTGTGTTTTAAGCATTATTGCTTGAAGAAATCTTTATACAAGTTCTAATTATATTTTAGCAGAATCTGTTTTAATTAAGATTATACTGGAAAAGTAACTTTTTTTAAATAAATTATCAAAACAATAACAGTTTACAGTAGATTCTTTATATTTAAGAAATTTTGTTTGAAATCTATTATTTTAAAATAGTTTTTTAAATTTAAAGCATCTTCAGCATTTCTCTTAATGTTTATAACCAATGTTTGTTTATATCTTTGTTCCCTACCCCTTATATATGATTTCATCAATAAATAAAAAGTTATTTAATCTGAAGAAGTCCTTTTGAAGTGTGAAACACATTAGATAGCATTTTTTTCATTTTTCATTCATTTATTAATATAAATTCTTTTAACTAAATGAATTGATAATATACTTTGCCTTTAGCTTGAGAGAAACCCCAGAGAAATAGAATTAAGTTTTCTTGTGAATATTCAATACAAAAAAGAAAACAGTTATTAATTTGAAATAATTTATAGGGACTGATTTTGACTTCTGTTTTTACTTAAGAATGATATGTGATGGAGAATTGAGATTGAATTTTAGGACATGCAGTAGTCATAAACAAGAGATAAAGCCAACTTGATTGGATGGCTTTATCTGCTAAAACAATATTATGACTACTCTACTGGTTATAATAATTCATTTGCTTTCAGATTTCATATTTGTTTTTGCAGCAAGATTCTTCTGCTTAGATATGTCACTTTCCATTGTACATATGTATTCGTGTATCTGTGAAAATAAAAAAAAATGTTTGCCTGTCAATCATGGAAGATTAACTAAAAATAGTGCATACTGCAAATATGAAACTTTGCACATACACTAATGGAATACTGAGGATGTGTATCTATTCTATTTGGGGATTTACTGTTTTTCTTTTTTCAAATATATGATTAAAGTTTCTCTGTATTTTGATTGAACTGACAAAAACAAATACTACACATATATTTCTGATAAAGAAAAATATAAAACTTGAAAAAGGAAGCCCATTTAGTATATAAGTATCTTCTATCAGTAAGTAGCTGATTTGTTAACAACTTATAAGGAGAACTTACCATTGGACTAATTATTACAAATGGTAGTAATCTTTTATAGCTGAAGGTATAAAAAAATCTCTTTTTACTCAGATTGTATTTCATAGAAAAGGTTATCTGATTATTCATTTTGAAGAGACAAATGTTGCTACTTTTCTACAAAGTAATATTTTTCCTCTCAGTGTGTTTACATTAAAACAATTCATC